ATTTATTCATTTATTTAAATTTTTTAGTAAATTATGTTCGATAACTATTCTATTATAGATTTTAAATAAATTTAAGAGAACTATGAAGAATAAAACCTTGCTAGAATGCTTAATATGTGAGGTATATTTATTACATGAGAGAGCTACTTTTTACTCCTCCTACTTTGATCAACAATCACCCATTGATGAGGTATTATGTGTGATACCTTCATCTATCATTTCTATATTTTGATTGTTTTGTGAAGCATCAAAAAGATGCACATCACATTATCTTAATGATTAAGAGCTTCAAGCAATCACTCTCATTATTTTTCTCAATTGGCGATGAAGTTCAATCATATCTTAAGAAAGATATTATTTAGTAGTAGTTGTTCAACTCTATAACTCAAATGTAAGATTCAATTGATTCACATATTTTTCAATATGTGAGAAGCTTGTTTGTAGATTCATTAAATCTAAATTATCATAATAATATAAGTAAGAAGAGTAAAGAAGACTTCTCATAATAGTTAAAAAGCATGCAAGTTACTCCTCTCACGCATTTATTGTTACATATGTTGAATTAAATAATAAAGACATGATTGTTTATGTATTTCATAGGTTCACAATCATAACAATGGATTTACAAATATAAACTTGATAGATATTGCTTTGGATCCTATGTACATCACAAATATGTGGTTAATTTTTATATGAATGAATGCAAATTTCATACAAAATCCTAGTATAAAGGAAGAAGAAAGACAAAAAAACAATGGTTTTTTTTTAAAGGAAATATCAATTCGTATGATAAAATAAACTATTGCAGAATTCTTTAAGTCTAATTACTTTATCCTGACTTAACCTTAATTGATTTAACTGGATTTAATCTTAATTGAACCAAACAACTTAATTTATCTCAAAAGTTTCAACTTCTCTAAATCCCGTAGATCCTACTTCCTATAGAATTTGGTGAATCATGGATTTAATGCAAAATGGAGCAAAAACAAGAATTAAGAGCGTGTAGACAGAGGCATTTTTTGTTTTTTGGTAGGATTTAGTTTAAATCCAACATAAATATTGTACTAGACAGACCCTACACATCAAATGAATTTAATTGGATTTACCTTAATTGAACTAAATATTATTTCAAATTTAATAATATTTAGACTATTCAAATTTATCAGATTTAGCAAATCTTATTTAACTTAAATCTTATTTACATTCAAACGCCCTCTAGTCTCATCCATAAGAAGGATATCATTGACAAAAAGTATACACCAAGGAACATCCTCATGTAAATGTCCAGTAAGAGCATCCATAACTAAAGTAAAAGGACGCCTGACCATATTTGTGAGCGTCGGAGCGGTGAAGTCGTCAGAGCTGGAGTCGTTGGAGCTGGGGTTGTCTGAGCTGGGGTCGCCAGGGCGTTGGAGTTGTCAGGAGAGGGGAGGGGAGGATTAGGGCAATACTGAGGGCATCAATTTTCGGTGGTCCAAAGGATTCTTTCCGATGGCTAACAAACGAGATAAAATTCCTCAATTATTAGCATTAATGTCGATGGTATGTTCCATTGCTGATTAAAAAACCTCATCTGTTAACACCCTGTCAAATAGCAGGTTCATAAATAACCAACAACATAAGACTGTTGTTTATTAATTGCTTCTAATTTATGGGGAAATGCATTTATAATAATAAAAAACCATCAGAAACAATTTACAGCTGAAAATTGACGACATGTTTTGTTGTAATACCGTCAGAAGTAACTCATCACATAAATTGTCACAGAATCGACAAAAAATATGACATTTTTACCGACATAAGTTTTGATCGTCGGTTTTTCCGACAGTTTGAACATTTTTTTCCTATAGTGTTATGAAAATCTATATTTAAAAGGATTTTCTTAAAAAAAGATTTCAAGAGAATCAAGTTGAGAAAACAATCCCATAAAAGTTGTAAAAACTAAAAAACAAGTTATGAAATACACTCACTTATAGGAACATCAGTAGGAGTTGATCTTAAAACATCACCATCTTCTTCTTCTTAAGGAAAGAGATAGGTTTTCTCCTCAAGACATAAAGGTGTGCAAGTGCAAAGAGCAAGAGAGGACTTGAAGAACTTGGAAACTCAATGAACTATGAGAATTTTGGCCAAATGAATAAACTTCAAATCAAGCTAAACTTTCAGATTTGAAGTGATTTTATTAGCTCTCTCTTAAAGAAATTTGGGGGAAATTTATTTTAGAAAGATTTCAAATTTGAATGTTGTTGTTGAAATTTTCATGGGACCAATCATTTAATTTGATTTTATTAGAAAGATTTTAAATTTAAGATTTGAATTTTAGTTGGAAATTATAAAAGCAATTAAATCAAATGTAGTAGTAAATAGTTCCAAACTTAATTATACAAATTTCAAATTTTATGGTTATATTATACAAATTTTTAATTTAATTTAAATCATATATTAATTTCCTAAATTATTTTCATTGAGAAATAAAGGAGGGCAAAAATCTTTTTCCTTATATATATTTTTTTGTTTGACTTGATTAAATCAAATAATTTAGTTGATTTAATGATAAAAAAGATTTATACATATTTTAATTAAAATATTAATTAATTAGTTGATTTATTTAATTTTATTAGATAAGGATGGTAATGATTTATTTAATTAAATCAACTAGTTGTGTTAATTTATTAAACTAGTTTTCAAATCAAGAGTTAATTCAAGTGATAATTCCAAATAAATTAATTATGATTATGAAAATAATTTTAATAGATTATAAAATATATTTATTTATTATTTTATGAAAATTTTAGTTAATTAGGCTTGTAATAAAAGATTAATTTTTTCATTGCTCTACAGAAAAACAGCTATGACCGGCACAATAACCGACGACTTTACGTGCGTCGGAAATATCGAGCTCATTTTCGATGATTTTGGCGTCATCACAACTAAACTCATTTTCTGTAGAGTTGTTTCAAGAGAGAAAAAAAAAAGGATCAAATAAATAAATAATTAATTACTATCTAAAAATTGAATAGCTAATTTTAATAATTCACAATATTTTATTACATAATTTTGATTCAAGTTATTTCAAAAAGGCCATTTGTTGATTATTAAGTTGAAATTATTCTTTTGTTAATATAGGAGAGAGGAAATGATAATTAGGATAATCCAAAACAATAGTTTGAATTGTTTGAAACTTTTAGGCCAAATTATGAGCTAATTTTGTGATATTTTTGGGCTTTAATGACCTCAATTTGAGTTTTAATTTGGTAGTTTAAGATTAATTCTAAGTGAAATACTCAAATTCTCTAAAATAATAAATTATTTGACTTTCATTTATTTTAGTTTTTATTTAGAAAATTTTTGTCATGCAAATTGCTATGAAATAATCATGAAGATATTGTGAGCAATTATTTAACTGAATTTGTTTGCACACTTAAACTTAACTACCCAACTCCATTTCTGGTGATCTAACTCCTCGAGCTGACTAAACAAAACTGATCAGCCAAGTGCTTCACTTGAAATATCTGCATTAAAATCATTAGCACCTCGACCAACACATGAAATTTCCTCACTTACCAGAGAAATCAATTTTAGCGAGCATATTACCAATATGACAATCATATATGCTAAAAGTCTAGAAATGATATTGTCATTAATGAGGGCTAACCCTATAAATAAGGGGTATTAAATATAAACCAGGATTCTTAGTTTTGGTTCATTGGAGATAAGGAAATACCCACTATGCTTTCATTCTTTGTGCTCATCCTTATCTTAACTCAGCTCCTCTCTTTTTTTGGTTTGTGTGGGGCAGCTGCAGTTTCTCAGTTTTTCAGCTGCAGCTTAGCTGTCCTAAGAAGCTGCTACGGGGAAGCTGTTGAGGGGAAACTGATTGGTTGTTTGTTGCATCTGTGTGAAAACAACCGTGTGACAGTTGTTGCTGGACAAATGGTCATTCTGCCCATGTTTAGTAATGTTATGTAGAAATTTTTTTTGTATTTTCATCTCCCAAATATTTTAAAAATTATCACCATTTTAAAATATCAAAAGTGAAGTACACATTTTCATGTATGAATAAGGTGTTGTACATGTAAAAATTAACTTTAGGTGTTACATTTTTAATTACAAGAGAATGTAATGGTAAGTATGCAAAATTTCATTATAAATAATAAAAATTTGATGGAGCCGCCCCTTCTTGCCTCCTAGACCATCCCCGAACCCATCTCTTCCATGTCGATGCTGCCACCCTTGGAACTTCCAGCCGAATCTACCTCAGCGCCAACATTGAGTTACCCGGCGCCCCCCTCCACCACTCCATCCACGCCGATCAATTCCTCATCACCAACGCCACCTTACACTCCGAAACCTCGATCCCCTTCATCACCGTCTCCAAGTTCCCTTGTGATCACTGCCAACGAACACGAAGGGTAAGACATAATATACTTTCACTAGAATGGGGAGGGTAGTTGGTGGAACTAGGAGGAGGGGCAGTTGTGAAATATGCTACCGCTCGAAAGCGGGCTGCAAGTTCCATCTCTGGTTCGCTTTTCGCCAAAACTATGTCCCACTGCGATCCCCCTCCCGAACCAAATGATCAGGATTCGCGGCCGCTCCCTCATCACAATTCCTCACCGAACCAAACGGACCCTCCGTCTCTCCACATATTCTCTCTCTTACCGAGGCTCTACTACTTGAGTGTTATTCACAAATTTGAGTCCAACTTATATTTTATTAAAGCTCCTCTTAAATTTGGGCATAACGTGAATAACTAATAATACAAGCTAAATTCAAACCAAGACATATTTCACTATATTGGCTCGCACGTTAACACCGTTAAGTGCTGCTAATAGACCCTAGGTCATTTGAGAACCGTGACGGCATTGACAATCACAAATTCACGACGTGTGAAGCGCACTGGAGCCCACAACGTAGTACCCTGGGACCCTTTGACTATGGGCCCCGAAAATATTAACTCCTCTATGCGCGGTCGTCTCCCCTTCCCTCTTCATTACCGTTCCAACTGTGAAATTTACAGAGAGAGGCACGGGCTTCACATTCTCTCTCTTCCGCTTGTCGTCGAGCTCGGTAACAGACTTCTAATGGCGGAGGCGTGAAAGCGGTCGTGGCTTGGATTCTTCCTCAGGTGGGCTGAAGGTGTGTCGAGGAGATGCCGACAGTGAGGTACCAGATAAGGAACGAGTACGGGTTGGCGGATCCGGAGGTCTACCGGGCTGGGGATAAGGATGACCCGGAAGCGCTTCTCGAGGGGGTTGCGATGGCCGGTCTGGTCGGAGTCTTGAGGCAGCTCGGAGATCTTGCAGAGTAAGTCGAGTTTCTTATGATTTCTTTTTCTTTCCATCTTGGCTCTGGTGTTCTTGTTTGCGACTGTTAGGAGTTTAGGGTAGTTAGAACTGGGAAATGGGATTTGGGGCCGAGCCAATGCTTTTTTTATCTTTCATTTTCTTTTGCCACTGAGTATGAGGTGATTTGTAGTTTTTGTGATTGTGAATTGATTTGGGTCAGTTTGGAAACAGCTTTAAGGCGGGATTTAAGTTCGATAGTATTCCTTATTTTGGTCTCATGTAATTTGATGGAATGTGTTGATCATTTATTTTTTTGTAGCGGTGATTATATTTTTTTGTCTTGTAATTTATTTAACAGTGACGATTCTAAGATGTTAGAGGGAACATAATGTGAACACGAACTCGTTTATGCTTACCTTTTTTTTTATTCTGTAGAAGTAATTGCTGGCGTGCAACTTCATAATATTGACGGGTTACTGAAAATTGGACATAATGATTAAAACTGTAATGCTGCACTGTCTATATTCATTTGCTATTAATGCTATGAAAATGTGTGTAACAGTGTAAGGATATCTATCAGCCCTTTTTTGTAAGCAGGTTTTTGATAATGATACAGGGCTTCTTTGTAGGTATAAATATTTTACTTATACGTATGGTCTTTGATCCAGATATATAATTTCATGAAGTATAGGATTTCTCACTAAATGTATTTTCTTCTTATCCGAATATTAAGTTTTTCACTGCCATGAAAAATATGGCGCTTTTTAAGTTAGGCTTAAGTTCTTTTATCTACATATAATATTTTGTAAAATATAGCTCGACATTCACCGCTAGGGGATTCTCAAGATTATCTTGTGAAATAGCTTTGGGATATTTATACATGGGAGGGAGTTTGAGAATTGGCACACATACATGCACACACATACACAAAGAATGGGGAGAGAGAAGGCAGAATAAAGGATTAGAGGAAAATGGGGAATAATGTGAATTTAGTTTGTAATAAGGTAATGAAAATTATAAGCACCAAATGCTTATTTATAGAAATAGATTAATATGCTAAAATTAAGTTAATATAGAATATCGACCTAATTAAATCCTAAAATTTCGATCGTCTATCTAATTTAAAGTTATAATTATCTTAAAATTAAATAAATTAAAATATAATAAAATAAAATATTATCATGGAGGAGGGGCTGTTGTAATTTGTTTATAAATATCTATTATATTATCCACATGTGCAGATCAAACATGAAATAGAATCATAAGACTTTTGATCTAATTCTTAGTTTCTCACCTATGCATTATACACCTTTCTTACATTATTACCATAGATGAGGATCCTACAGCTATGTAATAGTGGTTGCATTCAAAATATGAATTCAACCCATATTTCTTATGTGATTACACAAATAACTATTTTGAAGCTTATATATCATGTGAAAGATACGGGGGGGGGGGGGGGCAAACATACACACAATGTATGTATGTACATACTGACACCATTCTAGGGCTTCTAGAAGGTGTTTGGGAAGCGGGTCTGACAAGGAGATGGTAGAGGAATAGTAAGATGATGAAATTTTGAGCGATTAACGATTTTTGGAGTGGGATAAACGATGATGTTTGACTGCTGTTCTGTTTGAAAACAATAAGAAAAATAGCGAAGCAGTGTGTCATGGATGTTGAGGAGGGGTGTCAGTTGAAATTGCAGCGTGGATAAGGGCGAGGCAGTGAACCATAACTGCTAAAAATAGTTTTCCTGCTGCGAACAACAGTTGGCTATGTGCTGCATGACAAAGGAGGCCTCCGAGCGCCCTGGACAAATTACCACCTTGATCCTATGAGGTTGCAGACACGCTGCTTGGAAAAAAATCTAAAGTATACAACACTCCAATAGAGATAAACAAGAGAAACTATCTCCAAATAACATAAACCAAATCAAAAGTTCTTTCAAACCAAGAAATAGTAACACATAAATAGTTCATTCACAGAAAAACCTATAATGAATAAGTGAAATAGGAAAGAATAAAAAAGGAGCAAAAAATATGCTGAAATAAAAAAAAAATCGGAGTCACCAATCTTGAAACAACGATTGCTGGCCTGCTCGATTGCACTGGATCATGGAATTTCATCGTTCAGGATTGCAAATCCCATGCATGTCAAAATCTAGGGAATTGCGAAATTGTAATTCCGGTAGATGGTCGGGTGTAGTTCTCCCTAGCTAGGAGTGGCTTTTTCCTCCTCTGTAGATTTCTGGAATCAGTCTACGCTCGTCATAATGAAATCATTATCATGCCGTGTCTAATTAAATCCAACTACAAAATCTATACTTAAGTCCATTCCATGCAACTTTAAAATACATTATCATTCCAAAGACTGTCCTAATAGAATAAGTAGTCATTATATTTTGGCACAATCAGAGCTAAAATGGCACACATGTGAGCCTTCTTGCAAACTAAGTCTCGAGTTATTAAATTCGTAATGTGTTTTTCCCACTCATCATACTTGGTTGGGCGTATATGATAAACAAGTTTGTTTGGAGGAACTAACTCTGGAATGAAGTCTGTGAGATGCTGGATATCACTTAGTGACAACTGCCAAGGGCTGCCTCTTTTCTAGTATCACCTCATCAGAATTACTACATTGTAGAACAACTAATGTTAATCTATATGGAGTCTCTTTTATAGGCTCAACTTGAATTACTAGTGTCTCTTTCTCATCAGCTCGAATTTGAGGTTCCTATACTTCTTCATCCTCTTTGATGTCACTGTTCACTTCAACTGTTCTTTGCTCAGTGAAAGAGACCACCTTCCAGTTTGAACAATCATGCACCATGTGGCTCCCAGTAGATGGTAGTGTGTAGTTCTCCTCAGCTAGGAGAGGCTTTTTCCTCCTCTGTAGATTTTTGGAATCAGTCTACGCTTGTCATAATGAAATCATCATCATGCTGTGTCTAATGAAATCCCACTACAAAATCTATACTTAAGTCCATTCCATGCAATTTTAAAATTCATTATCATTCCAAAAATTGTCCTGATAGAATAAATAATCATTATATTTTGGCACAATCAGAGCTGAAACTGCACACCTGTGAGCCTTTTTGCAAACCGATTCTCTAGCTATTAAATCCGTAATGTGTTTTTCCCACTCATCATAATTGGTTGGGCGTATCTAATAAACAAGTTTGTTTGGAGGAACTAACTCTGGAATGAAGTCTGTGAGATGTTGTATCTTACTTAGTGACTATCAAAACGGTAAACTGTCGGTCATTATTTCCGATGAATTCCTTAGCAAGGGCTGCCTCTTTTCTAGTATCAGCTCATCAGACTTACTACATTCTAGAACAACCGATGTTAATCTATATGGAGTCTCTCTTATAGGCTCAACTTGAATCACTAGTGTCTCTTTCTCATCAGCTCAAATTTGAGGTTCCCATACTTCTTCATCCTCTTTGTTGTCACCGTTCACTTCAACTGTTCTTTGCTCAGTGAAAGAGACCACCTTCTAGTTTGGACAATCATACACCATGTGGCCAAAATTGTGACACTTGAAGCATTTACTGGTATGGGTGGATTTGGCAGTACTGGTGGTCTCCATCTTTTTTCCACTATGTACTGGTTTCTCCTCTATTTGGGTCATCATGGGTGCTCTACTTGGTGTACTATTGCTGTCTGATATGATGGCTTAATTCTTTTTGAAGAGTGGTGTTGACCTGATACCGTTGTGTTGTTTCTCTACAATTTAAGGCTAGGGTTTGGACATTATGTATTGTCCAATAAATTTGTAAATGTATCACCTTGCAAATGAATGATCTCAATCCCCTTTAATATCGAGCTATGATTTTCTCTTTGGGTTTCACTATCCCACATTTTAACATAAGTTACTTGAATTCAACTTTGTACTCCTCGACTGAGAGATTTTTCTACTGTAGCTGGTGAAATCTCAAGAAAATATCCTACTTGTAATGTTCTTGTTGGTCTTTGCGCGACATCTCTTTTTCATCTTGGAGCATTTAGCAATTTTACCCTTCCCTTCTCACTGTCAAAGATGCTTCAGGTTCTACAACCACAGAGATGCACTTTCTTTAACTTAATAGCGACTAGTTTCACCATTCTGTCTGGTAGAATATCCTTATATTCAACAACCTGTTTCACTGCCTGGAGTTACTCGATGAATTCATCTAGATCTATGCGACCCTTAAAATCTGGCACATCAATCTTCACATTCCAAAATTCCAGTGTTTTCTCTTATTTTCTATGTCAAATCTTTGGGGTATTAGTTCCTCATCACATGAAGCTGTCTGATGGAATGGATTCACTTTCTTCTTTCTATCTGGTGAGTAACCATTGTGGTTATGGGTGGCCCTTCCGGATTGTCTTCTCTAAAAAATGATAAGCCTCTATTGTAGTCGGTAGATTTCTCTTTGCATGTCTCTATAGTGAGTTGTTGAACACATCTTTGCATATTTCTTGCACGAGACATTGTGCTCTTTTCTCTTGATTAGGTTTCCAACGGATGTAGGATTGCAATTTAAGATTGGCCGGATGTTTAGGATTTTGGGGTAGGTGTTTGGGAGGAAGTTTTGTGGAGGTAGGAAAATTAGATTTTAAAATTATTTAGGATTGAGGCTTGGAATTGTGGTAGGAATGATTTGGGATTTTTTTTTTTGGTGGGTATGTTAGGTTAGGGTATTTGGAATTTTGAATTAAGGCAAGGAAGACAAAACCCTAAAGATCTAGGGCTTATCTGTCTCTGATACCAGATGATACCGTTCTAGGGCTCCTAAAAGGTGTTTGGGAAGCGGGTTTGATGGGAGGAGGTAGAGAAATAGTAAGGGGATGAAATTTTGGACAATCAACAATATTTGGAGGGAGATAGACGATGTTTGACAGCTGTCCTAACTGAAAAAAACATGGAAAATCATGGAATAGTTTGACACGAATATCTTGAAGGGGTGTCGGTAGAAATTGCGGTATGGATAACGGCGGGGTAACAAACCAAATCAAATAAAAGCAGTTTTCT